CAAGTTATAGATGCACAACATTTATTTAATTTTTGTTCAATTTTTATAGTTTTATAGTATTTTTTATAACAATTTTAACCTATTTTAAACTTTAATAAATTAATAAAATTAAAAAAAAGCGCTTTGAAACAAGCTTTTTCAAAGAGACTTCAATACATTAGACGTGAAACTTTTATTCTATTTTTCAGTAATCATTATTTTTACGCGATTTTGAGGCAAATTAAGGTTTAAGGGTTTGTCTCTTACCTCAAATTGTTTCTTTTGATCTTCATCTTAAATATTTATGACTACAATGTAACAAAATTTTGAATAAACATCCAAAAATTAAGTTTTTAAAAAACTTGAGGGCTCATTTTTCAAATTGTTTTATTTACTCTCTAATTTAAACAAAATGGTAAGAAATTGTCCAAAAAGTTTATTTTTATAAAGTGACTTTAACGTAAAGTTGAACGCAAAATCGCTATTTTATTTTGAACAATTTTGAAGAAGGTTGAGGTTTGAGGATTTGTTTTTACTTCAAATTGTTTTCTCTCATCTTTATTTTGAGTATTTAGTTTGTAAAGTGGAGAAATTTAATGAAATCGGTAAGAAACAAGGTTTTTCAAAGAACAACATTAGACGCGAAACTTTTATTCGATTTTTCAGTAATTTTGAGACAAGTAATTGAGTTTTGAGAAATGGTTTATTAGTTTAAATTTGATTTTTTTGCTTCCTCATGTAAATTATAATCATTCTAATATTGCAATTTTTAGAGTGACTTTAATACAAAGTTATAGACGCAACACTTTTGTTTTATTTTTGTGGAATTTTCAAAAAGTTTAAGATTTTATAGAATTTTTTAAGACAATTTTAACCTGTTTTGCACTTTAAATTAATAAAATTTAAAAAAATTGTCTTAAAACAAGATTTTTCAGAGACTTCAGAGACGATATTTTTATTCTCATTTTCAGTAATTCCGAGACAAATTAAGTTTTGAGAAAATGTTCATTAATATAAATTTGATTTATTTGCTCTCCTATGTAAATCATAAAGAGCAAAAATGTTAAAATCTGACAAAAATTAAGTTTTCAAAGACAAAATTATACTCCAAATTTTTACTTTATTGAGAAGTACGTTATTGAAGATAATTTACGGTTTGCAACATGCGAAAATTAAATTTTTGAGAGACTTAAGGGCTCATTTTTCTAATTTACACTGTCAATAAAACAAAATGATAAAAAATTTGCCAAAAAGTTCAGTTTTATAAAGAGGCTTTAACGTAAAGTTGGACGCAAAATCATTATTTTATTTTGAACAATTTTGAGGAAAGTTGAGGTTTGAGGATTTTTAAATTGTTTTCTCTCACCTTTACTTTGAGTATGTAGTATTTTAAAGTGAAAAAAATTGATGGAATCGGTCAGAAACGGGGTTTTACAAAGAGACTTCAATGCAACGTTAGACGCGAAACTTTTATTCTATTTTTCAATAATTTTGAGACAAATTGAGTTTTGAGGAAATGTTCATTAATTTAAATTTTATTTATTTACTCTCCCATATAAATTATAAAGGGCAAAATTGTTTAAATCTAACAAAAATTAAATTTTTAAAAAGAAAATTATACTCCAAATTGTTATCTTATTGAAAAACACTTTATTTAAAATAATTTAAGGTTTTCAAATGCATATTAAATAACAATTTTAGCTTATTTTACACTTTATGTTAACAAAATACACAAAAATCTTCCGGAAACAAAATTTTTCAAAGAGATTTCAATGCAAAATCAGACGCTGAAACAGTAATTTGATGTGTGTGCTTTATTTATTTACTCTTTCTTTTCAATTGTAGATAGCAAAACTGTAAAAATGTATACGAAAAAATTTTTTTTGTCATTTTTACCTGTCACAAGCGCTGCTGAATCCATCGTCCCTTTGACACTGTTCGCAACTGCAAAACGAATACTGCGAACACTGGGAATCAAAATCACTGACCACTTCACTCCTTCTATTCCTTTTCCATTTTTCAGTCACAACCAAAGTCCACGTTCTGTGCAAGAAAAACCACACTCTGTTCCCGATTTCGCGGCCATTTTCCTCACCATCGGTCCCTAGCGAATTACCCATCGTTCACATCTCAACACCAGCTGAAAAATCAAACAAATCGCTTTTACTTTCATTAGAAATCCAATCGAAAGTAAATAATGCGTGAAGAGCTGTGTAACACAAGTCGTTGGAATTGTCTTTATGATATTATTTAAGTGTAGAAAGTGCAAAATGAGAAGAAAAAGAACGAAGAAAGGCACAAATTGGTGCTTTCTTCGCGATGTTTAGCTAATTAGATATTCGCATGGACGGCGAATATGAAGATTGAAGAACTTGATTCGCACGAGAGCAATTTGGAGGAGAAAAAGAATGGAAAAAAGTTGTTAATTAATTAGTTCCTTTCATTAATTGATTTATTTATCGAGGAATTGATTTGGAATGCGCTCAAATGCGTGTTTCCAAGTTGATTGAGAAAAATCAGACACGCCATTTGAAGATTATTTAGTTGCAAACCTATTTAAAAAGGCGGCAAATTTTCTAATTTAAATACAATTTATTTTTCATTTTTTAAATTTTTAATTACTTGTCTTTGTCAATTGTAAATAGCAAAATTGGAACGCGAAAATGATTGACACAAACAAAAATTAATTAATTTAAAAAAAAAAGCGGAAAAACTGCGTTAATCGGAGAGACTTTAACGCAAAGTTAAACCCAAAATCATTATTTTACGCGATTTTGAGGCAAGTTGAGGTTTGAGGGTTTGTCTCTCACCTCAAATTGTTTTTTGATCCTTATCTTAAATATTTATCACTACAATGTAGCAAAATTATGGATAAACATCCAAAAATTAAGTTTTTAAAAAACTAGAGGACTCATTTTTCAAATTGTTTTGTTTACTCTCTAATTTAAACAAAATGGTAAGAAATTGTCCAAAAAGTTTATTTTTATAAAGTGACTAACGTAAAGTTGGAAGCAAAATCGTTATTTTATTTTGAACAATTTTGAAGAAGGTTGAGGTTTGAATTTTTTCGTTTTTTTTTTAACTTGTAGTAAAATGACAACTAACAATTTATGATAAGCGGCAAATTTAATTAATATTGCTACAAATTAACAAAGTGTTCACAATATTTTTCATTAAATTTTTTACAACGTTTGTCAATTTATTATTTTCTACTTGGACCTATTATTTTTACAAAGCGGCAAATTATTCTAAAGATTACTAAATAACATTAAAATGTTAAACAAAAACTTAATTACAAAAATGTAAATAACAAAATTTTGGATAAAAATGACGATAAAATGAAACCAAATATTAAAATTTTTGAAACTTTATTTAATTTTTTGTGACAGAGAAGGGGTGAACAATTTATATTGACATTTATTGTGGTATTTGAAATTATTTTAAAAAACTCACCGGCGGGAAATTCAAAATTGCTCAAAATTTGGTGCAAAATCCGTGTCAAAAGTCACACTTTTTCACCGCATTAACAAAATTCGTGAAAGTCCCGACCTTAGACACAACCTTAAATTCAGATTTTTAGAAAGTGCAAAAATCGCGACCCATCGCCGTTCACAGCCGCCTTGCGAATAGTCTCCACCGTTCCGACTGCAGCGTTATGTAAGAAAAATTTCAGCAGGAATTCAGCTGAAATTTCAGTCGGACGCACTGTTAGATCGCTGAACTCTTAACCAGACAACACACTTGCAACAGACACAAAAACCTATCAGTAATAAACCATTTATGGGAGAGTACCATGATGGTACCGCTACCATGGCGAGATAAGGCGAACCGGAACGGTTCTCATTATTAATAATAATAGAAAAATCGAACATGGTTTGAATTTGGCGCCCTCTCCTGGCATGGTAAACAAAAGCGAGATGTCGTTAGTGTAAGCCCACTCGATGATTTCCGGGGAAACCCCATGTGGCCTAACGTCAAGTTTTTTGATTTTGCAAGTGTGGCAAGACTGCGACAGTGTGGATACGTTAAGATTGTGATTAAATGACAAATCAACAATTTCCAAAGTCACATTTTCGAAAATAAGTGACGGCAAATTTTCAAAATAACTGTAAGTGAGGTTTAAAACCAAGTTTTTGCTTTTTGTCCCACTGAAAACTTTATTTTCCAAAAGCGTAAAAAAGTTAAAACCTGCAAAAATGTGTGCTTTTGCTTCAATAAAACTAAAAACGTTGTTTTCGAGGATTGCAAGATTGTTATTTTCAATGTTAAAAATTTGCAATTTTGGAACATTTTTAAACATTGAATCTTTTAACACCACCAACGAATTGTGGCTAAGGTCAAGTTTTACCAAATTCGGTAAATCACAAAATGTGTTTTCTTCCAGTTCACAAATGTTGTTGTGGTCTAACAAAAGTTGACGAATTTCCAAATTTTTAAACGTTCCTGATAATAAAAACACAATAGAATTGTTTCTTATCACAATTTTTTCTGTAATAGTCGCATTGAGGAGAAATTCGGGTTCGATCTGCATCACATCACAATCTTCAATAATCAAGTTGGCGATTTTTTCGCTTAGGTCGAAATTCGCGTTACAGAGAATTTGTATTGGGTGATTGACGACACGAATCATTGAATCAGTTGAATTGAAAATTTCAAAATTTGAGCAACCAAAAATTGCTCCAATGAGAAAAAACACGACGTACATTTTGGTCGAAAATGATTTTATTGGGAAAATGTCGGGAATTACTGAAAAAAGTTTGACGTAATGACATGTCATTAAATATTTCGGAATTATTACTTCATAAAGTAATCTTGGCCCGGTTTAATAAGAATCGATGAAATTTTTGATACCGGGTGTTTTAATTTACTATTTGTAACAAAAGTAAATTGTCATTTTATTTAATATTTCGTACGAAACATAAAATTATAATTTAATTTTTCTTTGGATATCTATTTTTTGTACGCCAGTAATACTATTAAAAAATTATGACAAATAACCAAAATATTGCTAAAAGTAGGTGTAAAAACAAGAAAACTTATTTTCACAATTTTATTAAGTTACACAAGACAAAATTTTAGTTATTTTTGCAAAATTGTTAATCAAAAATTTTAAATACTAGTGACATAAAAACAATAGAGTGCCACTCGTTGAAATGATAAATCATCAGGTATAGGAAAAGTCTTGTTACAAATTTGACATAATAAAGTGTCATTAAATATTTTAGAATTGTTACTTCATAATGTAATGTTGCCCCGTTATAATACTAGAAAAAATTAAAAAAAAATATTTTTGGCTATCTATTTTTTGTACGTCAGTAGTATTAAAAACAGTGACAAATAACCAAAATATTGATAAAAATGGGTGTAATAACATCAAAAATAGTTTTTACTTTTTTATTAAATTACACAAGACAAAATTTTAGCGATTTTTGCAAAATTATTAATCAAAAATTTGAAATACATTAAAACAATAGTGCCAGTCTTTGAAGTGATAAATTATCACATATAAAGAATGTCTTATTACAAGTTTCACATATTAAAGTGTCATTAAATATTTTGGAATTGTTACTTCATAATGTAATCTTGTCCCGGTTTAATAAGAATCTATGTAATTTTTGATACCGGGTGTTTTAATTTACTATTTGTAGCAAAAGTAAATTCTCATTTAATTTAATATTTTGTACAAAACATTAAAATATAATTTAATATTCTTTCGGCTATCTATTTTTTGTACGTCAGTAGTATTAAAAAATGACAAATAACCAAAATATTGCTAAAATTAGATGTAAAAACATCAAAATTAGTTTTTACTTTTTTATTAAGTTACTACACAAGACAAAATTTTAGCGATTTTTGCAAAATTATTACTCAAAAATTTGAAATACTAGTGACATTAAAACAATAGAGTGCCAGTTGTTGAAGTAATAAATTATCAGGTATAAGGAAAGTTTTATTACAAGATTGACATAATAAAGTGTTATTAAATATTTCGGAATTGTTACTTCATAATGTATTGTTGCCCCGGTATAATAAAAATCGATTAAATTTATTATACCTAGTGTTTTAATTCACTATTTGTAACAAAAGTAATTTGTCATTTAATTTAATATTTACTACAAAAAATTTAAATAAAAAATTAATAATTTTGGACCATCTATTTTTTGTACGTCAGTAGGGATTAAAAAACAGTGACAAATAACCAAAATATTGCTAAAATTGGGTGTAAAAACATCAAAACTAGTTTTTACTTTTTTATAAAGTTAGACAAGACAAAATTTTAGCGATTTTTGCAAAATTATTACTCAAAAATTTGAAATACTAGTGACATAAAAACAATAGAATGCTAGTCGTTGAAGTGATACATTGTCAGATATAAGGGAAGTTTGACATAATAAAGTAATATTAAATATTTCGGAATTGTTACTTCATAATGCCTCGGTATAATAAAAATCGATTAAATCTATTCTACCGAGTGTTTTTTTTTTTTTTTTGTACAAAATTTAATATTTTTTGGCCATCAGTAGTAAAAAAATATTGTGAAAAGTAGCCAAAATTTTGCTAAAATTAGGTATAAAAACAATATGTTTTGTTTTATTAAATTACATGAATCACAATTTTAACGGTTTTGGCAAGATTATTAATCAAAAATTTTAAATACTAGTGTCATGAAAAAGGAGTGTCAATTGTTGAAATACTAAATTATCAGATAAAATTATTTGCAGGGTAAATAAAATATTTATTTATACAAAGGGAGAATCTTATATCACAATTCAGTTCCCAGTAATTTTTTTCGTGAACACAGACACAAAATGACTTTTCTCTTGTTATTAGTTTCAATTTTTTTGGTACAAAAAAGTGTTCTTTCGTCTACAACTACATATAATGGAACAACAACATCAACCCCTTGCAACCCCTATTCATCATCATGGCCATATTGCACAAGTACAAGATTTTACACAACCTCGGCTTACACCTCGTCCACAAGAACAACAACCCAAGGACCCAGAAGTCCCAGCACGACTTTCTGTTCCAACCATCGAGACCCATCGAAAGAGTTTCCACAACATGGTGATATAATATGCGAAGCTGTGGGTTCCGTTAGTGGCGGAATGTACACACATGGTAACTTTATTAAAGAGACCCTTTTAGTGAGAGAGACTATAAACGAAATGAATCAGTTTTTAAGAAAAAAAAGTTATAGTAGAAATTTTGACAGAGAAACGGTTATAACCACAGTCAAAATTTTGAATTTTGGTGAAGCCGATGGATTTGTTGAAAATGTGGTTATCAAAAACGCACAGCCGGCTTTTCCTTCAGTTTCAGCACTGATTGAAATTCCGCCCAATAAGGAGGTGAAATTGTTTGTGGAGATTTATGGAATTAAGTAAACGCTGTTTACTTGAAGTGTTATCATTTATGTATTTGCTTAAGTTGAATCAATAAAGGCGTTTCTTGTGTAAAAACGATATTTTATTTTGATTATTGAACCAAGTGCGAGAATACATTTTACATAAGTAAACTTTAAAACATGTTTTATTAATTTATTTTAATTTATATTTTTTATTTCAATTTATTTTGATTTTTTTTGGCCCTTGTGATCGGAACAATAAATTAGCAAATGTGTCCACCCAATCAAATTCAAATCTCACCGATTTACCATAAAAAACTGTTTTAATTTAATTCACATTTTCTTTAAAATAACCCAAAAATTACCAACTGAAAACGAATGAAAAGTTTGATTTTATTTAAAAGAATAACAAAGCTTTTTCTAATTTTTAATGACCACAAATCACATGTGATTTGCGTTAATAACTTATAAAAACAAGTAAAATGACTTTTTTACTCCTATTTGATTTCTTATCAAAAATATGGTTTCAAATGACAAAAACTGAAGCTAAGAAGTTAAATAAATAATTGTCAAAAAAATTCGTAAAATAAATATATAAATACTATCAATTTTGTTTTAATTGCCATAAACGGGATCCCAAAGTCTCAAAACATATGCAACTACAAATACACAAATGTGAAGCAATTTGCAATAAAGAGCGCAAATTCAAATCTGGAAATTTCTAACGTGAATTTCTCGAAAAGTATGCGTCGCACGAAAAAATGAAAAAATCCACCCTTACAATGTTTTTTATACAATGCAACTTGTTTTACGTCAGATAGTAGGGTTAATAATGGAGAAAAAATTCCTTAATTTGAGATTTTTTGGTCGACTAAAATCAGAGATATTGAATTAATTTATGTCAGAACAATTTTTTTTATCGTGTTTACCATTTGATTCTCGTGATTCGCTCCGCTGGTTTCGGATACAAAGCCATTTTTAATTTTTTTAATAGAAAATTAATATCTTAATACTAGGACTTCTAAGTCAAAACGGTTACTCAAATACTATTTTTACGATTTTACTACCGCTCAACTTGAAAAACTCAAAAAATTCGAAATTTTTTAAACTTGACCCAATAACGTTTTATGCACTTTTTTGAGACTTTAAGACCTCTATAAATGGAAAAAACGTTAAATGGATCAATTTTAAAGATGAATTTTTTTTGGATTTTTGTCGAGATTTTGGTCGATTTTAGGCACCCGAAGCGGTCTATTGCAAATAACTCCGGACTTATTGGAGATAACCTCTTATATACCGTTGGAAAGAAAATTTAATTTTCTATCATATATAAAAAAAATCAGTGCTCTACGATAAATAGTTATCGAGAAAATTTCTGATAAAGTCAAAAATATCAAAAATATAAATCCGCTTATAACTTCAAAACTATTAGGAATTGGGCAGTTTTCTTGACGTCAATCGATTCCCCGGAACATTTTACATAGGTTTACGTCAAAATATTATATCATTGAGATACTGTTTTGCCATTCTACAATTTACAAAATAACAAAAAGGATAAAATTTTCAAAATTGTGAAATTATAAATGCGTTTTTTTACGAAAAAAAAAAAAAAGAGCAAAAAGCTAAAAACCATTGAAATCTACTTTAAGTTGTCTATTTAATGGCGCAAACCGGAAGTCGCTCGGGATTATGGTTCCGGGTACAGAGCATTTTTAGTTTTTTTCATAAAATATTAATATCTCAAAAACTATGAGTCCTAGGTTAAAACGGTTTATACAAGCGTATTCTCCGATAAATTTTACATGTAGTACTAGTTTTTTATAAGAATCAAAAAATTTTGCACGGTGCGCCAGAACACAGTTATAAAAATTCTATCTATAAAAATTTCGAAGTTATGAGAGTTTAAATTTTGCACTTTGATTATATTTGTTTCTGTTAAAAAAATAATTTTACAAGTTTTTTTGTCAAAATTTCAAATCAACT